GCGAACATAGCCTCTCCTTCGAACCCAAGCTTGGTGTCAGACTGCAGCAGAGGCGAGGGTGGACCTCAGTTGACTGACCATCAACTACGTGCCAAGCATTCCGTTTTCCACTTCTCAACCAGCCTCTATTCTATGAAGAAACCCAGGCCAAGAGGGCCAGAATGATTGGCCAAGGGAGCATTGTACTGAGACACTGCACCATTGTCCAGTTACCCCTCACTCTGCACTGCGGGAGCACCTTTTCCCTTTCAGAACTACCCCTGCAGCTCAGCCTGGCTTCACCTGGATGCCGGCATTCAGGGGACACACTTTGTGCTGGGTCCAGCCTGGCTCTGATCTGGAGACAAGAAACCGGGTCCTCACCTATATCTGCTCTGCCTCCAGTCACTTGTGTGCCTGGGTCTTGGCTTCTCTGGCTGCCTGGCCCTCCACATGGGGCTCTGCAATTTACACAGAAGTATTCTACTCACTACATAAAACGGGCTCTGGAGTGGGTGCTGCCGGTCATTTTATGATAAGGAGAAAGAGGCTCAGACAGGGGAGAAGGTTTGCTTGGGGTCACACAACAAGCAAGAGGCAGAGGTGAGATTCAACCCATGTGAGACTTCCCCATCCCCCTAGTCCAGGGCGCACCCCACCCTGCTGTAAAACGGGAAGGGGAAGTGGCCAAATCCTTACAAAGCCCCTACTATGCCCTTTGGGCACCTTCACTCTGGGGCCATGGTGAATTTTCCCAGCTGCCCATAGAGGAAGGTACAGTTGTTCCCATCTCACAGACGTGGAAGCCATGAATTGCAGAAGGCATGTGGCCTGCCAAGATCACATATCCAGGGCAGGAGAGGGCTCAGGATTTGGACCCAGGCCACTTGAATCCCAGGGCTCCTCCTTCTGTCCCTTGCTGTCTCAGGTCTAGAAGGATCTAAAAGCTCCGTGTGAATGTGGGGGGCCCCTCCTCAGCAGGCCTTGGGTGTGGGGGAAGTCAGTCACATTCTCGCTTTTCCTTATTGCCGGAGTGAAGCTCCAGATCCAGGGGTGACGGATGCAAACCAGAGCCCCCTCACTGTGCTGACTGCCCCATTGCCAGGGCACCCAGCATGTTTCAAGAGAAATGTCCTCATCTGGTTCTGATTCATTTACATTTAATTAAGCAAAATGTTGTTTTGAAAGAGCCTTGCCTTTCATTCCTTCTTGTCTTAGAAAAATTGGGTTTCATCAGAAAACAGCAATTCTGGAGCCTGAGGAAGCAGGGGTATGTGGGAGCCAGGTCCTAAGGGTGACGGCTCAGATTGGGCAGCTGCTGGGCCCAGCAGGTCATTCCTCTGACCTTGCAGAGTGGAGGCTGAGGAGGGGCAGGGAAGGGTCACCCCTCCATGTAGGCAGCTCCTCAAAGGCAGGCCCAGGGCTATTCACCTTGACATTCCTAGGGTTCCCAACACAGAGCTTGGCACAGAAGGCTGCCCTGTAACACTTGTTGAATGAACGTATGAATGGATGAATGAATGAAGCAATACCCAGGTGTCTTCAGGACACACGTCCACCACAGTTAGATGAGAAGCTCAAAGCTGGTAGGACCCTCAGGGATTGTGTGCAGAATTTCCCAAGCAGATGCCTTATGAGAAATAGTCTCTGATGTGTAATACATTTGGGAAATGTCATACTCTCTATTCCCACCTCTTAACCACCAAGTTACCATGCTCTGGTAAGTCCTCTGCATCAAGAAATCTGCTAAACCCAGCATTTCCCAAACCTATTTGGCCAGAACTCCTGTGGCCGCCTTGCAGAAAATTCTATAGAGAGGGTTTGCCTAATTCTCACCCCACCCCAGTACCAATGGGGAAACTGAGGCTGTGGGTGGAGGGAGGGGGAAAAAGGGAAAACCCACTCACCCAAGGTCACGCAGCACAACTGGGTCGAAAGTGGGACCAAAATCCAAGGCTATCTCCAATACAGCTGACTAATAAATGGAGCCACAAAACTCTCTCTGAAGATGCTGGGCAGGTGTGTGGCCCAGAGGCAAGAGATCAGCTACTGGGGGGAAGGATACCAAGATATCCCTCGCCAAAGTGGGGCAGTGTAAGGAGCACCATCTCCCTACCTCCTCACTGAGCTCCTGGAGCAGCGCTGGTAAGCTAGGGATGGGAGGAGGGATTGGAATTTTTCATTTTTCTTTTTCTTCCTTCTTTTTAATTTTTTTTCTTTTGACTTTTTACAACTGAGAAGCACCTTAACGATCTTCTAAAGCAGTTCCTATTCATATGAGGCTCTGAGAAGGGATGACCAGCATAGTTCAAGAGACATCTTCTCAGCATCAAGTCAGACAGATTGGAATTCGAACCTGCTTTGCTACTTACCTGCTGTGAAACTTTGGGCAAGTCAGTTCCCCTCTCTGAACCTCAGTTTCCTCATCCAGAAAATAAGCATCTCCCCTCTCCCTCCAGTAGGCTATTGCAAGCAGCCAATGACACAATGGACAGGAAATGAGAATGATTAATCCTTACAAGTGCCCTCTAGGAGCTCTCTCCAGTAGGCTACGGCAAGTAGCCAATGACACAATGGACAGGAAATGAGAATGATTAATCCTTACAAGTGCCCTCTAGGAGCCTGTGTACTCGTCTAACATACACACTCATTTACTCTCACAATCTTCCTTATGAGTTTGATACTTAAGATCAAGATTTTCATCTTAAAGATAAGTTGATGAGGGGAAAGTTTTTTTGTTTTGGTTTGGTTTTTTATTTTTATTTTTTGGTGTTTTTTAGAACTAAGAAGGATCTTAGAGATCTTCTAAAGGACCCTCAGATGGGTCAACAGAGGATTGGAGGGGAAAAGTGACTTCTCCAAGGTCACTCAGCTGGTAACAGGGGAAGCTGGGATCTGAACCCAAGTTAACTGGCTCCAAAGCCCACTGAACAAAGGCTATTCACAGAGGACTGCCCAATGGAGTCCCAAACTCCCCCCAGCTCACTGGAAGCCCATCTGCCTCTCTACTTCCTTGGTCTCTCTGTCCTGTCACAGCAGGATTGGAGCCCCTTGCACCATAGTCTCCCCCACCCCACCCAATCCCACCTCCCAACTCTCCCACAGCCCCTCTGTGCTTCCTGCTCCACTTGGAAGCAATTTTGTCCATGTAGGGCTTTTCACACAAAGGAACAAGAAGCCCCCAGAGGGCAAGCCATTCTCTCTTGCTCTCTCTCCCACGTAGCCTTGCTTAGACGCAACCCCAGAGCTGGAAAGAGCAGACACCGGGTATTCCACTCACCCGCGGGACAACTTCACAGTTACTTAACCTGTCTGAGCCTTGGCACCCTGGCTTTATAAAATGNCTCCCTCCAGTAGGCTATTGCAAGCAGCCAATGACACAATGGACAGGAAATGAGAATGATTAATCCTTACAAGTGCCCTCTAGGAGCCTGTGTACTCGTCTAACATACACACTCATTTACTCTCACAATCTTCCTTATGAGTTTGATACTTAAGATCAAGATTTTCATCTTAAAGATAAGTTGATGAGGGGAAAGTTTTTTTGTTTTGGTTTGGTTTTTTATTTTTATTTTTTGGTGTTTTTTAGAACTAAGAAGGATCTTAGAGATCTTCTAAAGGACCCTCAGATGGGTCAACAGAGGATTGGAGGGGAAAAGTGACTTCTCCAAGGTCACTCAGCTGGTAACAGGGGAAGCTGGGATCTGAACCCAAGTTAACTGGCTCCAAAGCCCACTGAACAAAGGCTATTCACAGAGGACTGCCCAATGGAGTCCCAAACTCCCCCCAGCTCACTGGAAGCCCATCTGCCTCTCTACTTCCTTGGTCTCTCTGTCCTGTCACAGCAGGATTGGAGCCCCTTGCACCATAGTCTCCCCCACCCCACCCAATCCCACCTCCCAACTCTCCCACAGCCCCTCTGTGCTTCCTGCTCCACTTGGAAGCAATTTTGTCCATGTAGGGCTTTTCACACAAAGGAACAAGAAGCCCCCAGAGGGCAAGCCATTCTCTCTTGCTCTCTCTCCCACGTAGCCTTGCTTAGACCCAACCCCAGAGCTGGAAAGAGCAGACACCGGGTATTCCACTCACCAGCGGGACAACTTCACAGTTACTTAACCTGTCTGAGCCTTGGCACCCTGGCTTTATAAAATGGAATGACGCCTATGTCATGAGGCTGTAGTGGAGATTTGACAAGACAGTGCATGGAAAACCCCTGGCACACTGGCTGGCCTTTGGCTGTTGATTCTCAGACTGGCACCGGGAGGCCAAAGGACTGCCTGCTCACCCTCTTCGGCCTCACAGGCTCTGCAAACTGCCGCTATACAGGGACAGCCTCAAATCCACCTCCTTGCATGGAGGGGCTGTGGTACAGGAGCCTGAGGTGAAGGTGCAGGGGGCCCCTGGTACATTTATAATCTGAACCTTGGTTCATATTCCTAGTTGCCACATGAGGTCGATATGGGAAAACTAAGGCTCTCTAAGGGGCCGAACTTCTTCCAGGGTATCCACAGAATAAGTGGACTTGAACTCAGGTTTCAGTTCTGGCTGAGCTCATCACCCGAGATCATTGCCCTCTGGGAGGTGAACCGTGAGTCAAGGTGGGTGATGGGGCTGGGACTGGGGCATCTGGACTCCCAGCCCAGGACTCTTTGTCACCTCCTGGCTCAGCATAGATGCTTGCTTGGGGTGGCTTCTGAGCCACTGAATCTGTCCCTGGGTCCCTGTGCCCCCTCAGGCTGGCGCACAAGGCTTTTTGTCTACTACGGTGGGGGCGGGGGACAGAGAGGGCGCTGCGAGCTCCTTTCCCCCGTGGGCAGCCTCCGTGGTCCAGCTCGCTCAACGGCTCTCTTACTGGGTGCCCTGGAGCCTCAGTCTCCCCATCTGTCAGGTGGGACGGACCCTTATCTGAAGGAGCCAATGGCCTAGGGCGCCGCGTCGGGCCGCGGGCGGATGCCCCGAGGACTGTCCCCGGTGCGACCCGCAGCGCCTGCCCGGTCACCCAGCCCGGCCGCCCCTCGTACCTTGTTTCTTCCTCCGGTTCATGGCGAGCAAGTCCACGGCGTGGGCGACGAGCA